ACAGCTGGTGAACGCAAAGAAGAAAGAAGAAGAATATATTCTCACTGGAAACCAGGGTCCGGCACGAGAATGAGCGGCCAGGAGTTCTAGGTATCTAGCAAGGTCGAGAAGCACGGAGATTTAGAAGGCTTTCCATACATTTCATGTTCATGAGCAGACAGAGATAAGCTTGCACTTGCCTGGTAAGCTTCTCGTCTGGCAGGGGCAGAGGATTGCTCTGTGCTTTTGTAGTTTTGTCTGCAAGGAGATGCCATGTTTATTCAGACGTTGTCGTGAAGTCTGCCGTAGATCGTTCTCGTATACGTTGAGATGTTGGTGTTAATCGCGACTTGGGTGGCAACCCTATGACACTGCCGTGCCGAAGCGTGCGAAGCTGTCGACTGTAGTGAGTTTGCTACAATCTACAGTAACTTTAGCTTTGAATATATGTGATTCCATTCTTCTGGCTCCTATTGGCCAGCCTAAATTCCGTACAAGTTTGAGAGACTCTGTAGAGACTGCGCAATAACTTCTGAACTGGGGTTTGGAGTGCAATCGTCTGTAAGTAAGATATTTGGGCTGTGCTTGATGTAGATTGTCAACACATATTTAACAGTTGCAGAAACCAGCACGCAGACGTCACGCTTCGCTAGACTAGCCCAATCTTAAACGTTTCAACATAAAGCCAAATTATGCACGCAAGAGATGATAGGCGATAATAAATATCTGTTTACAATGAGAGCATTGACTTGACTGCAAATAGCGGATCCCTAAAATACGATTATTCGCCTCACGGAGAAGTTCAGCGTCTAAAGTATGGCCTTCATGTTTTCCTGTAAAGGTATCACTATCAGCTTGTGTCGTGCCTGGAGGCGTATACGATCACACTGCCCCCTATGTGTCAGATCTCTGTGTTCTGTATGTTTCACCGTTGAGCATTACACTTGTCATATTTATAACATATAACAAATATCTAAATACCTCAGATAAAAAAAAAAAAAAAAAAGGAAAACACAACAACATGTCGTAAGGTTGTGAAAAACAGTGTAATATTAGACAAAAGGGGGCTGGGGGAGTAAAATTGATATCCAAAAAGATCCGAGTTCAAACACCAAAATAGATTGGAAAAAACAGTAGCTGAGCACAACGGTCGACCACCACAAACATTGGCTTAGGACATAAAAGGGACATTCGGCAGCCGAGAGGAGGATCTGATAGCTGGCGAGTGACGAAGTTTCTTTGAGGCGAGCTACGACTGGAGCAAGGTTCTGTAAAGTACTGCCACATGACGGCGATGGATATCAAATGTATGCTTACATCAAGAGATGAATACAAGCTACCAAAGATATCTTAAAGTGCAATTGCCAGCACCCAAAGACCTAATGTTACACAAACAACAGCTCAGAAAACGTTAGTCAATATACAGGGGGAATGCAGCGCTTGCTATTTCACAAACTATTGCTCGGGCAACGTTAGTCAATCTAAAGGGGGAATTTGCGCTTGCTGTTTCACAAACTATTGCTCGGATAACGTTAGTCAGTCTACAGGGGGACTTTGCGCTTGCTGTTTCACAAACTATTGCTCAGACAACGTTAGTCAATCTACAGGGATAATGCAGAGATTGCTGTTTCACAAACTATTGCTCAGACAACGTTAGTGAATCTACAGGGGGAATTTGCACTTGCTGTTTCACAAACTTATTGCTCAGACAACGTTAGTCAATCTACAGGGGGACTTTGCGCTTGCTGTTTCACAAACTATTGCTCAGACAACGTTAGTCAGTCTGCAGGGGGAATTTGCACTTGCTGTTTCACAAACTTATTGCTTTAGTCAGTCTGCAGGGGGACTTTGCGCTTGCTGTTTCACAAACTCTTGCTTTGACAACGTCAGTCAATCTACAGGGCAAATGCAGCGATTGATGTTTCCCAAACAACTGCCTGGATACCGTTTGCCAGTATACAGGTGGACTGCATCGATTGCTGTTTCAACCTCTCTCGGTATCAAACAAGAAGAAGAAGAAGAAGAAGAAGAAGAAGAAAACTCAGTGTGGGTGCACGTGTGTTGTGCGTGTATATGTGTGTGCGGGAGTGAGGGGGGGATGTGTATGAATGTAATACTGTCAAGTTGTTGTTTGGGCCAGCGTTTGTGGTTTCAGCAATGGTAGCCTGCTTCATAGTACCGATAGACCCGGCTTGGTTACAGCACGGCTGACCTTGTTTTCAACACTGGTATCGACCGACGGATGTTCGAAAGCAATGACAAACTACTAAACGTAAAATTGCCTAGAAAAATCAAAACAGCTACCAAATGCTGGGATTTGGTTCTGCAACGACCTGTGAAGGATGCGCAGCTAACTTCTCTCTTACATTGTTTCAGATTAAAAAATGATATGTTTGGTTCCCCGTTAAGTGCGCAATAATCATTTACAAAGACCTTGTCCTCTTGATGGTGAGAAAATGATAAAGGACTGAGATGGCACTTTCTTGCAGCAAAGCTAACTTTGTATGTGTGTGTGTGTGTGAGAGACAGAGAGAGAGAGAGAGAGAGAGAGAAAGAGAGAGAGAGTGTGTGTGTGTGTTAGAGAGAGAGTATGTGTGAGGGAGAGAGACAGAGAGATAGAGACAGAGAGAGAGAGAGACAGAGCGAGAGAGAGAGAGAGTGTGTGTGTGTTAGAGAGTATGTGTGAGGGAGAGAGACAGAGATAATTCACCCCAATGATGCCGAGAAAACGTGACGGGCCAAAAAGTTTCGAGGGTGGTGACATGGCTTGTCCAGTGTGTTTCCAGCGGTCTTCCTGCGCTGCCAAGCTTCTCGCCAGGCTTTAGACACTTGTGTTTGTCTTCAGCGACTTGTTGTGGTCAAGCCTTCATAGCTATGCATTGACTTAAATGAGTAGAAAAATGGGTGCTTGTCTCTGCTGCTGCACCTGGGTCATAGTTTTAACGTCTCCCCTGGGTCCTAGGTTTAACGTCCCACCCTCCCCCAGGTCCTAGGTTTAATGTCCCCACCCTAGGTCCTAGGTTTAATGTCCCCACCCCCACCCCAGGTCCTAGGTTTAACGTCCCCACCTCCCCACCCCAGGTCCTAGGTTTAACGTCCCCACCCAGGTCCCAGGTTTAACGTCCCCACCTCCCCACCCCAGGTCCTAGGTTTACTGTCCCCACCCCAGGTCCTAGGTTTAACGTCCCCACCTCCCCACACCAGGTCCTAGGTTTAACGTCCCCACCTCCCCACCCTAGGTCAAAGGTTTAACGTCCCCACCCTCCCCCCACCCCAGGTCATAGGATTAAACGTTCCCACCTCCCCACCCCAGGTCCTAGGTTTAACGTCCCCCCCCACCCCAGGTCCTAGGTTTAATGTCCCCATCCTAGGTCCTAGGTTTAACGTCCCCACCCTCCCACCCCAGGTCCTAGGTTTAATGTCTCCACCCTAGGTCCTAGGTTTAACGTCCCCACCCCCACCCCCAGGTCCTAGCTTTAACGTCCCCACCCTCCCCAACCCCAGGTCCTAGGTTTGATGTCCCCACCCTAGGTCTAGGTTTAACGTCCCCACCCTCCCCCCACCCCAGGTCCTAGGTTTAATGTCCCCACCCTAGTTCCTAGGTTTAACGTCCCCACCCCACCCCAGGTTCTAGCTTTAACGTCCCCACCCCACCCCACCCCACCCCAGGTCCTAGCTTTAACGTCCCCACCCCCACGCCAGGTCCTAGGCTTAACGTCCCCCCCCCCCTAGGTCCTAGATGAAACGTCTCCCCTTGGTCCTAGGTGTAACCTCTCCTAGGTCCTAGGTTTAACGTCTCCCCTAGGTCGTAGATGTAACATTTCCTCTTGGTCCTTGGTTAAACGTCTCCCCTGAGTTCTAGGGTTAACCTTTCCCCTTGGTCCTAGGTGTAAGTTCTCCCCTGGGTCCGGGGTTTAACGTCTCCCCTATGTCCTAGCTTTAGGTTTACGGTTAGAACGTGGGCGATCCATTGCCGAAAGTGTACGAAGAGCTGGCCTGTACAATTTATGTGTAAAAAAAAAAAAAGTTGTATGTAGAGGTTGAACGCGGTCCCTTTCGATTGTAAGGCAAATGTGATAACCAACTACACTAGACATTCACATGGAAATGAGAACTGAAAACACGACCAGTATTGTACATCGGCCGATCGCACACCAACAGACAGACAAATGCAGCCAGTTACGTAACACGCACAAATAGTGCCCACCAAAACACAGCACAACAAGCGCACATAACTCAAGACTTGCACGGCAAATGAAAGGATACCATCCCCTGAAACAGTCGAATGTCCTGTTAGCTGTCGATCTTCCCTGGATTTCCCTTGTTTGGGGTGGACAAAAAAAAAAAAAGACGAAAGCACCAATTTTTGTTTTATTTTACAAAAAAAAAGTAAAGAAACCACGGAAAGAAAAAAAAAAAACCAAGGAAAAAAAAAAAAAAAAAATTCAAGTTTTCACATCAGTATATAAAGTCCAGCCTAGGAGCCTTTGACACAAGTGGCGAATCTCACATATGGTGTTGGACTTCTTGTTTTATAGACTTTTCGACACCACGCAGCCCGCCTTACTCTCCAGGTCATCGCCTGGTACCTATTTTAGGCTAGGTAATCAGCCGTTGAATGTTACCGTGACGCCCGAGCCTAATGTGTACAATACACCGAGACGCCCGAGCCTAGCGTGTACAATACACCGAGACGCCCGAGCCTAATGTGTACAGTACAGACATCTAGTGATAACACATGATGCTGCTGCGTGAAAACAGTAAGTTACAACTGGGATAGCGAAGGAAAGAAAAGACATCCTACACTATAATGAACAAAACAAGCAACCATGATCAACTGGCAGAAGACACAAACACAGGACATAAATCGTGGGATGTCAATCCAAACATCACGGAAAGCGTACAACTGGTACAACTGTACATGTGTACATTCATTGATATTATTCTCTCTCATGTCTGCTGTTGAATCAGTGGCAGTCATTTCAGCTGACCTTGACAGATAACGGAGTATCTGGATAATCCTAACCGTATTTGATCTGTTCCACTTTCTGTCCTTTCCGACAGCACAAGTAATTGAAGATGTCGGCCACAAGGTGCAGCAGTTCGAAGATGCCTAGAACTGACAGCCCAATGTACAAGCCAATCGTTCCTCCAACATCTGAGAGAAACTGGGTCAGCTGTGGAGCAAATGTGTACAACTGTTATCTATTCTATCCTTTCTGATTTGGCTTTTTTCTCGGCTGTAAATGTGACAGTCGCCTGTTACAAGTGGCTCTGTTCTCAGTTTAAATGTGACAATCTTCTGTTACAAGTGTCTCTGTTCTCAGTTTAAATGTGGCAATCTTCTGTTACAAGTGTCTCTGTTCTCAGTTTAAATGTGACAATCTTCTGTTACAAGTGGTGCTGTTGTCAGTTTTAAATGTAACAATATTCTATTACAGCTGTACACAGGTTGACACTCTAACCTGTCACAGTTGTACACAAGTGGATAGTCCAATACGTCAAAGTTGTACACAAGTAGACAGTCTAACAAGTTACAGTTGTACACAAGTGGATAGTCCAATACGTCAAAGTTGTACACAAGTAGACAGTCTAACAGGTTACAGTTGTACACAAGTGGATAGTCCAATACGTCAAAGTTGTACACAAGTAGACACTCTAACAAGTCAAAGTTGTACACAAGTGGACAGTCTAACACGTCACAGTTGTACACAAGTAGACACTCTAACAAGTCACAGTTGTACACAAGTAGACAGTCTAACACGTCACAGTTGTACACAAGTAGACACTCTAACAAGTCACAGTTGTACACAAGTAGACAGTCTAACACGTCACAGTTGTACACAAGTAGACAGTCTAACAAGTTACAGTTGTACACAAGTAGACAGTCTAACACGTCACAGTTGTACACAAGTAGACAGTCTAACAAGTCACAGTTGTACACAAGTAGACAGTCTAACAAGTCACAGTTGTACACAAGAGTATAGTCTAATATGTCACAGTTGTACACAAGTTGTACACATTTACCGAAGATGGGAAATTGGATAAAGAAATTGACATTAGATGCAGTAAAGCAAACCAAGTATTGGGACAGCTAGCCCCCCTCTTACAGCATAAGACAATCCCAATCAGCACAAAGAGACATCTTAATTCAAAGCATATTTATTCCAACTCTGTGCTACCAGTGCCAGACATGGTCACTCACAACAAACCATAAAAGAAAATTAGTAACCACGGAAAAGATGTCTGAGAAGGGCGTAGGAGTGACCATAAAAGATAAGATCAGGAATGAGATCATAAGAGAACAAGTCGGCACAGAACCAATTCTGGATTACATACAAAGACAGCAAGTGAAATGTTTTGCCCACTTAGAGAGAATGCCTTGTGACACCATACCATACAAAGCATACATGGAAAGAGAAGAAGGACGTAGAGCACGGGGTAGACCAAAAACAAGATGGAAGGATAACATCAGAGAAACTCTACAACAGCATGATGTGCCTATGGTCGAGGCAGCCAGAAGAGCTAGAAACAGAACCTTATATCTCCCTCGACACCCACAGCGGTAAAAGAGGAAGTGAAGAAGAAGAAGAAGTACACAAGTGGATATTCGAACATGTCACATTTGTACACACGTGGGCAGTATAAATTATCACAGTTGTATACAAGTGGGCACTCTCAAATTTCACAGTTGTCGAAAAGTTTACAGTAACATACCACAGCTGTTCACAAGTGGACAGACTAACACGTCACAGCTGTTCACAAGTGGACAGACTAACACGTCACAGCTGTTCACAAGTGGACAGACTAACACGTCACAGCTGTTCACAAGTGGACAGACTAACACGTCACAGCTGTTCACAAGTGGACAGACTAACACGTCACAGCTGTTCACAAGTGGGCAGACTAACACGTCACAGCTGTACACCAGCACACTGTCTAATATGTCACTGTCGTATAAAAGTGGAATGTCTAACACATGATAGCTGTATTCAAGTGGATAATCTTACATATCATAGTTGTATTCAAGTGGAAAATGTTACATGTCATAGCTGTATTCAAGTGGATAATCTTACATATCATAGTTGTATTCAAGTGGAAAATGTTACATGTCATAGCTGTATTCAAGTGGATAATCTTACATATCATTGTTGTATTCAAGTGGAAAATGTTACATGTCATAGCTGTATTCAAGTGGATAATCTTACATATCATAGTTGTATTCAAGTGGATAATCTTACATATCATAGTTGTTTTCAAGTGGATAATCTTACATATCATTGTTGTATTCAAGTGGAAAATGTTACATGTCATAGCTGTATTCAAGTGGATAATCTTACATATCATAGTTGTATTCAAGTGGATAATCTTACATGTCATAGTTGCATTCAAGTGGATAATCTTACATGTCATAGTTGTATTCAAGTGGATAATCTTACATGTCATAGTTGTATTCAAGTGGATAATCTTACATGTCATAGTTGTATTCAAGTGGAAAATGTTACGTCATAGTTGTATTCAAGTGGATTATCTTATATGTCATAGTTGTATTCAAGTGGATTATCTTATATGTCATAGTTGTATTCAAGTGGATTATCTTGCATGTCATAGTTGTATTCAAGTGGATTATCTTACATGTCATAGTTGTATTCAAGTGGATAATCTTACATGTCATAGTTGTTTTCAAGTGGATAATCTTACATGTCATAGTTGTTTTCAAGTGGATAATCTTACATATCATAGTTGTTTTCAAGTGGATAATCTTACATATCATAGTTGTATTCAAGTGGAAAATGTTACATGTCATAGCTGTATTCAAGTGGATAATCTTACATGTCATAGTTGTTTTCAAGTGGATAATCTTACATATCATAGTTGTTTTCAAGTGGATAATCTTACATATCATAGTTGTATTCAAGTGGAAAATGTTACATGTCATAGCTGTATTCAAGTGGATAATCTTACATATCATTGTTGTATTCAAGTGGAAAATGTTACATGTCATAGCTGTATTCAAGTGGATAATCTTACATATCATAGTTGTATTCAAGTGGAAAATGTTACATGTCATAGCTGTATTCAAGTGGATAATCTTACTTATCATAGTTGTTTTCAAGTGGATAATCTTACAAGTTACAGTTGTACGTATATGGACAGTACCTCATAATCCGCTGCCTCTTCATATTTCTCAAAGTTGAGGTCTTCGTAATAGATGTTTAGCTTGATAAATTCCTCCCTGTTAATATACGAGAGAAAAATCCTCATAGAATCCTCTATTTCCAAGAAATCATGTATGAAAACAGGGAAAAATGAAAGTATATGTGAGAAGTCTGGATCGTTTTAACCTTCCGCAAGGTTCTCCTGGGTTGGTAATCTCACTGACATCACCTTCTACTAGGCCGTTCGTCTCACTGACATCACCTTCTACTAGGCCGTTCGATTCACTGACATCACCTTCTACTAGGCCGTTCGTCTCACTGACATCACCTTCTACTAGGCCGTTCGTCTCACTGACATCACCTTCTACTAGGCCGTTCGTCTCACTGACATCACCTTCTACTAGGCCGTTCATCTCACTGACATCACCTTCTACTAGGCCGTTCGTCTCACTGACATCGACTTCTACTAGGCCGTTCGTCTCACCGACATCACCTTTTACTAGGCCGTTCGTCTCACCGACATCACCTTCTACTAGGCCGTTCGTCTCACTGACATCACCTTTTACTAGGCCGTTCATCTCACTGACATCACCTTCTACTAGGCCGTTCGTCTCACTGACATCACCTTCTACTAGGCCGTTCATCTCACCGACATCACCTTCTACTAGGCCGTTCGTCTCACTGACATCGACTTCTACTAGGCCGTTCATCTCACCGACATCGACTTCTACTAGGCCGTTCGTCTCACTGACATCGACTTCTACTAGGCCGTTCGTCTCACCGACATCATCTTCTACTAGGCCGTTCATCTCACTGACATCACCTTCTACTAGGCCGTTCATCTCACCGACATCACCTTCTACTAGGCCGTTCGTCTCACCGACATCGACTTCTACTAGGCCGTTCATCTCACCGACATCGACTTCTACTAGGCCGTTCGTCTCACCGACATCGACTTCTACTAGGCCGTTCATCTCACCGACATCACCTTCTACTAGGCCGTTCGTCTCACCGACATCACCTTCTACTAGGCCGTTCGTCTCACTGACATCACCTTCTACTAGGCCGTTCGTCTCACTGACATCGACTTCTACTAGGCCGTTCGTCTCACTGACATCATCTTCTACTAGGCCGTTCGTCTCACCGATATCACCTTCTACTAGGCCGTTCGTCTCACTGACATCACCTTCTACTAGGCCGTTCGTCTCACTGACATCACCTTCTACTAGGCCGTTCGTCTCACTGACATCACCTTCTACTAGGCCGTTCGTCTCACTGACATCACCTTCTACTAGGCCGTTCGTCTCACCGACATCGACTTCTACTAGGCCGTTCGTCTTACTGACATCACCTTCTACTAGGCCGTTCGTCTCACCGACATCACCTTCTACTAGGCCGTTCGTCTCACCGACATCGACTTCTACTAGGCCGTTCGTCTCACCGACATCACCTTCTACTATGCCGTTCGTCTCACCGACATCATCTTCTACTAGGCCGTTCGTCTCACTGACATCACCTTCTACTAGGCCGTTCGTCTCACTGACATCACCTTCTACTAGGCCGTTCGTCTCACTGACATCACCTTCTACTAGGCCGTTCGTCTCACTGACATCACCTTCTACTAGGCCGTTCGTCTCACCGACATCGACTTCTACTAGGCCGTTCGTCTTACTGACATCACCTTCTACTAGGCCGTTCGTCTCACCGACATCACCTTCTACTAGGCCGTTCGTCTCACCGACATCGACTTCTACTAGGCCGTTCGTCTCACCGACATCACCTTCTACTATGCCGTTCGTCTCACTGACATCACCTTCTACTAGGCCGTTCATCTCACCGATATAAACGTATTCTGGGCAGTTCTTCTCACCAACATCAACTTCCACTGGGCCGTTCATCTCACCGATATATACTTCCACTGGGCCGTTCATCTCACCGATATATACTTCCACTGGGCCGTTCATCTCACCGATATATACTTCTACTGGGTCGTTCATCTCAACGATATATACTTCTACTGGGTCGATAATCTCACCGATATATACTTCTACTGGGTCGTTCATCTCAACGATATATACTTCTACTGGGTCGATAATCTCACCGATATATACTTCTACTGGGTCGTTCATCTCACCGATATATACTTCTACTGGGTCGATAATCTCAACGATATATACTTCTACTGGGTCGATAATCTCACCGATATATACTTCTACTGGGTCGTTCATCTCACCGATATATACTTCTACTGGGTCGATAATCTCACCGATATATACTTCCACTGGGCCGTTCATCTCACCGATATATACTTCTACTGGGTCGTTCATCTCACCGATATATACTTCTACTGGGTCGATAATCTCACCGATATATACTTCCACTGGGCCGTTCATCTCACCGATATATACTTCTACTGGGTCGTTCATCTCACCGATATATACTTCTACTGGGTCGTTCATCTCACCGATATATACTTCTACTGGGTCGATAATCTCAACGATATATACTTCTACTGGGTCGTTCATCTCACCGATATATACTTCTACTGGGTCGATAATCTCAACGATATATACTTCTACTGGGCCGTTCATCTCACCGATATATACTTCTACTGGGTCGATAATCTCAACGATATATACTTCTACTGGGCCGTTCATCTCAACGATATCTACTTTTACTGGGTCGATCATCTCACCCACAAATATCTTTGAACGGAAAAGGATCTGGTGGCCAGCATGCCAGTATATCAAAGACATCGTGAAATGTTCGAATTCGCCCGAATGCAGGGATTTGTTCCTTAGCAGACACCAACTCTAAAAAGGCCCCAGTCTAAATATCATCAAGGAAATTACTTTGAAAGTAAAAGCGGCATGTGGGATATTGACCGAGTTAGCCTTTAAGTATCTATGGGTCTGAATACATACATTATGGTAGTGGTAGAAAGCCAGTAGGTCCCACTGAGCTGAAAAAAGTCCTTGACGTTTTTGTACTTAGGCTTCATCGTCTGGCAATTCGGGAAGTAGAGGCAACTACGACAGTTGAAGAGGTTACAGCGACGACGTCATGTCCAGCATTCTCCAGGCATCGTGAAGCCGTAATCCAGATATACTTGTCTATGCAACCTGTGTCTGACCCAGTGCTAAGTCATTCATGCACCGGTGTTAGTTGTGCAACCTGTGTCTGACCACGTGCTAAGTCATTCATGCGCCGGTGTTAGTTGTGCAGCCTGTGTCTGACCACGTGCTAAATCATTCATGCACCGGTGTTAGTTGTGCAGCCTGTGTCTGACCCAGTGCTGTCATTCACGCACCGGTGTTAGTTGTGCAGCCTGTGTCTGACCCAGTGCTGTCATTCACGCACCGGTGTTAGTTGTGCAGCCTGTGTCTGACCCAGTGCTAAGTCATTCATGCACCGGTGTTAGTTGTGCAGCCTGTGTCTGACCCAGTGCTAAGTCATTCATGCATCGGTGTTAGTTGTGCAGCCTGTGTCTGACCCAGTGCTAGGTCTCTCATGCACCGGTGTTAGTTGTGCAGCCTGTGTCTGACCCAGTGCTAAGTCATTCATGCACCGGTGTTAGTTGTGCAGCCTGTGTCTGACCACGTGCTAAATCATTCATGCACCGGTGTTAGTTGTGCAGCCTGTGTCTGACCCAGTGCTAAGTCATTCATGCACCGGTGTTAGTTGTGCAGCCTGTGTCTGACCCAGTGCTAAGTCATTCATGCACCGGTGTTAGTTGTGCAGCCTGTGTCTGACCACGTGCTAAATCATTCATGCACCGGTGTTAGTTGTGCAGCCTGCCGCTTGTGCTAAAAGAGCGTGGCCACTGACTGACTTATAGACTTCTATGGGTGGTTATATCCTCTCTTGCTACAAACATGACCAAGCCATGTAAACTTGTACAGATATTTAGGGGCTGTCAGTTTTAGACTTTTCTATTGTTAGATTACCATGTGACATCCTTCTTGCTGCCTAGGCAACACTAACAATAGTCAAATATCTTATTTCTGACGTCTGCAGCTCAAATATGTAGACTGTGTCCATGATGCAGTTCACAGACTAGAACATACCGCACTATATGTGAATGTCAGCGGTAAGTGTGCGCGTGTGTATCTGTCTGTCCAATAACACTTGCAGACATCTTTTGCAAATGAAGAAATACTTAACGTAATTCAGCTATGTGAGACCCACTGTGAAGGAAAATCCATATGACTATCAAATGTTTCAAACAAAAATTATATCTAGAAATTTCGATAAAAGTATTTTCACGACTATTATGTACCCAAGCTGAACACAGCAGCATCTAAAACAAGAATACGGCAAGCAAACAATACAGTTAAGAAATGGACAGACTCTTAGGGAGTAATAAACCAGAAAAAAAACCGTCTTAACTCTTCTCTAACTTTCCACAAAGCTAAAACAGGTTGATCTGTACCCAGAAGGCAACATCCTTCCAAAAGAGGAAAACCCCACATATTTGGGAGTTAAATTTGACAAAAGACTAACCTTGGGCCCCCACACTGAAGACACCCAAAGAAAAGCTACCCTGAGGCTCAGACTTACGAAAAAACTTACTGGAACAAGCAGGGGTGCAGATGCCAACACTGAACAAAACGTATACACAGTATACGTACGACCAAAACTGGAGTATGGCATGGGAGTATACTCCTCTGCAGCCAAATCAAACAGATACAAACTGGACACAATACAGAACATTAGTCTCAGAATCAGCACTAGAGGTATGAGAAGCACACCAATCAACGTCTGGCATGAACAACAATCCCATGCACGCAATATCAAACAACGTAATCAAAAACCGACAAAAAGACAAAGCTTTCACCACGTATCAAAACTGTACTACACACAAAAACAGTGACATCCTTTCTAAAGATCCTTCAAAGTGAGAAATGATCCAGACATACAGCATAGACCTACAGCCTAACTAACTATACAGTCACAAAAACAATTGCAGGCATAGAAAGATAGGCTGAAGAATGTGACCTAGTACTGCATGCAAAGAACCTTGAACATATCTATAACTGTATTCAAAAACCCGATTGGACACACGTTTACACCGATG